AAAAGTGAACTAAATCCATAACAGTGATCTTGAAAGCCTTTGATAAAGCCCTAAAAACCTAGCTAAAAAAATGCTAGAACTGCTCTAAGGGAAGGCTCTCTAGCTGCATCTTTATTAGCTGTGTTAATTAAATGCATTCATAATCGCCTCTTACAGGAGGGTTTGTAGTTTGTGTTGCTGAACTACCCCTCTTCTTTGCTAGTTTTTCTAATACCGTGTCCCTTGCTTTCCCAAGCGCCACGCAGGTGAAACGCAGCCCCGCGACCCTTTGCCTTTCCCGCGGGCCAAGACGGGACCTTCCGTTGCTGCCGCTCACTTCGGCCGCCCAGCAAGTGGGATCTCCCCGGAGCGAGCACTCGGTGGCAGACTGGGAATCTCGCCGTACGTGGGGGCAGGTGCTGAGGCTGGAGGCTCCGGCCTCCGCTGTGACAAGCCGGGGGAGCCAGTGGCCGCCGTGGCTTGCGGCCCCTCTGTTGGCTTCGTCGAGCTGCCGCTCTGGGACAGGGTGCTGCCGGCTGCCCCGCGGGGCTGCCACGGGCCCGCGCTCGCTCCAGCCCGCCTGCCCAGCGAGCCCCTGTGCCCCGGCATCCACCCAGCTCCCGGTGCACCACTCACACCCAAGGGTGGCTATGAGCCTCTGGGCCCCACCGGAGATGCATCCCACAGGGAAAAGCGCCACGCGGCCAGTGGCGGCCTGCCCGCCTCGCCATACCTCCTGGCGCAGCAGGAGCCCCTCGTCGTCCCGCCCGGCGCCCACCACCACTGCGCGCCTCTGAAAGCACAAGGACGGGCCTTGGAGGATGAGCAGCAGGGTCTGAACCTGGACTGCTGCAGCAGCGACATGTTTCTTAACCTGTGCCCTTTACGGTGACTCTACTGAAGCTTCCTCCCTCCATCCACCTCTGGTCCCGTGTCTCCAGTCCTGCTGCAAAGTGGACATCGACACACTACGCTCTGACTCCCTCTTCAGTGCCCCGTGGAGACCCAGAAAAAGGGCTTTTCTGCCTCAAAGATTGTGTCTATTCAGTGATTTTTCGCTGTTAATCTTTTCCTGCTGTTTCATTGACCTAATAAGAGGTATCATCCCTTTCTACAAACCACCTCACTGCCACTCTGGTTTGGAAGTTTTTCATCTGCTATCGATACTCTGCTTGTTCTAGCACATAGAATTACTAGGACTAAGGAAAGTATAGATAAATGCCCTCAAAGGCCATAGCAGCTGCATGTAACCCCTATGCTCTTYCCTTCTCTTTGACCTGTGAGTTAGGTCTCTTCACCAGTCCCATGAGTGTTTTACTTGACCTAATTGTTGCCATGTATATATTTAGGTTGCCTCAGGGAGCTTTTCCCAGCCACTTTTCAGTTATTTCATTGCAGATGAATCTTTAGGTCCCTTTCCTACATGTCACTCAACTTTCCCATCACTTCTGCAGTCTGTGTTTCACCGGGAACTATCAGTTCCCTGTATCTGTTTGGCAAAGTAGGGTGCCAGACATGCATCTTGTTGCCTAGAAGAAGCCAGTGCCCCTTGGTTCCCYGTGTTACCGAGCCTTTGGAGACAGATCCAGATTTTGCAGTCTGGACGCACCCCTGCTCTCACTCTAAATCAGCCAAGCCCAGACAGCACAAGGGGAAATCCATTTTTTTATTAGGATAAGTTTGGAAGGAATATTACAAAATAAGCATCAATAAAAACTCCAGAGTACTCCCATTCTCAGAGTGGGACATATCTGGTGTCTGTCAAACAGGTTCAGTGTTACCATTTTTATCTTTTGTCTTTTTTTTTTTTTTTTTGCTTGTTTTCTTCCCTTTGGCTTCCCTCTTCTTTGTTTAAACTTCGGAACACATTAGTTATTAGGGAAAGTGCTGTCATTACAAAGCCACAGTATGGCAGGCTACAGTTGCACATGAAGGGTCAATTCAGAAAACTCTTATTTAATCTGTTGGATACCTCAACACAAGTATCAAAGTTTGTGTGTTATATTGTGGTTGTTCAGATCAAAAACCTAGTGAAGAAAATTTTAATTAAGGGTAATGACATCCTCTATCTTTTAAAGACAAAAAAGGGGGCAAATCAGAGTTGTAGGTGCTCCAGGATTTGTGACACACAAGGAGGGACAGACAGAAGATGCCTCTGGGCAACATGTCCCATAACTGAGATTCTTCTGYATCTGTCAAACTGGCTACACTGGTGCAGGACCCACATAACACGCTGACCACAGCCCTATGCCACTTTGCTCTTCCTCATCTCACCCTTCCCCTAAATTCTTCAGTTCCTTATTGCACTACAGCTACCATTGCCTTCCATCAGTGATACCATACAAACTCAGCACTTTTCCAAGATACATGCCTGAAGAAATACTCTCCCTTTTTAAAAATGAGGGAACCAGGATGGAGGGTGATTTAGTGATTTCTTCTAAGGTGAGGCGCAGGAAGGTCTCCAGATTTACTGGAGCCACCAGTGTCAGTTTGACCTTCCTATGCTCTTGCGCTGACTTCTGTGTTGGCAGTAACTCCCTCCTTCCATTTTTGGGACAGTCAGTACCTTGGATCAGTATCATGCCAAATTTGTAATCATTTGGCGCAAAGTATTAAGATACCCACCCATCTCGTAACCTTTGTGAAAATAACTTTAATACACTTGAGATATGTGAAAAGAAAGTGAATGAGGTGGGTGCCCTGGTTATGAAAAACACAGAGAAAGCAGAGTTGCTGAACGCCGTCTTTGCTTCAGTGTTTACCAAGAGCAGCCCTCTGGAATCCCAGGCTCTAGGGACAAGAGAAGAAGCTCGGAGAGAGGAAGACTTGCCCTGAGTAGGGGAAGATTGGGTCAGAGAGCAATTAGGGAAACTTGATACTCACAAATCCATGGGCCCTGATGTGATGCACCCCAAAGTGCTGAAGGAACTGGCGGATGTCATAGCTAAGCTGCTTGCCATCATCTTTGAAAGGTCCTGGAGAACAGAGGAGGTACCTGAGGACTGGAAGTAAGCCAATGTCAAGCCAGTCTTCAAAAAGGGCAAGAAGGAGGACCCGGGCAACTACAGGCYGGTGAGCCTCACCTCTATCCCCGGAAAAGTGATGGAACAGCTCTTCCTGGGTAGTGTCTCCAGGCACATGGAGGAGAAGAAGGTGCTCAGGAGTAGCCAGCATGGATTCACCAAGGGGAAATCATGCTTGACTAACTTGACTAGCTTGATGGAGTGACTGGCTGAATAGATGAAGGCAGAGTGGTGGATGTTGTCTGTCTAGACTTCAACAAGGCTTTTGACACYGTCCCTCACAGCATCCTCCTGGGCAAGCTCCAAAGGTGTGGGATAGATGGTGAGGTGCATTGAAAACTGTCTGGATGGCAGAGCTTAGAGGGTGGTGATGAGTGGCACTGAGTCCAGTTGGAGGCCTGTAGTTAGCAGTGTCCCTGAGAGGTGAGTCGTTGGTCTGGTCCTGTTCAGCTTATTCATTAACGACCTGGATGAAGGGCTGGAGTGCTCCCTCAGCAAGTTTGCTGATGATACCAAACTGGGAGGAGTAGCTGATACCCCYGAGGGCTGTGCCGCCATCTGGAGGGACCTGGACAGACTGGACAACCGGGCAGCGAGAAACCTCATGAAGTTCAACAAGGGCAAGTGCAGGGTCCTGCACTTGGGGAGGACCCAGACCGCAGTACAGCCTGGGGACTGCCCTTCTGGAGAGCAGCTCTGTTGAGAGGGACCTGGWTGTCATGGAYGACCAGTTGACCTTGAGGCAGCAGCATGCCCTCGTGGCCAAGAAGGTCACTGAGATCCTGGGGTGCATGAGCATCTCCAGCAGTTTAAGAGAGGTGATTGTTCCCCTATACTCAGTCCTGGGGAGGCCACATCTGGATCACTGTGTGCACTGCTGGGCTCCCCAGTGCAAGAGAGATGTGGAGCTGCTGCAGAGAGTCCAGCTCAGGGCTACGAGGATGATCAGGGGCCTCTGCAATTTGAACAAAATGTGCTGAACACTAAAGTTATTCAGGTTATCTTCATGCAGACATACCAGTTTATGGCTGAGGAACTACTGATAAGCACTCCTTAACCTTATTCTCTGCAGAAGAAAAGTGTTTTCACGGCTACAGCAATGCACTAGGAAGGCAAAAGAGACAAGGAGTTTAGGATCCGTCTGATTACATGGACAGTATTTTGTGTTCTGGCTTATCTGTCCTTTAGACACTTGTAGCTACTAGTGTAGCTACAAGGATTTGACTAGTCCTACATGGCATGGATAGTCTTCACTTGCTACATGCTGCTTCTTAACTCTGAAAGCATTAGCCTCAGTACTAAAAGACTGTTCTTTGGGATATTAGGATTAATCTCTGTTATTGATCATATATATATATGTGTGTGTGTGTGTGTGTGTGTGTATAAAATGGTTCTTCTGAGGCCATCAGAAGCATCATAGCTTCAGAATAATACCATAACACATACCCAGAATAAGATATGTGATAAGACTGTATCTTAAAGTAACACAAATGTGTCCCTTTTTTTTTTTTCTTTAGCAACATTTAAAGTTGAAATCTAGAAACATAAAGAGAAGGAGCTRTGTTATCTATGTAAGATTGTAGCTGGGCTCCTCCATTTTTAAAAGTRTTTATCCTCAGAATGTCATTGCAAGAAGGAGAAATGCTTCTGTGTTCAGTTGCATGGATATGGACATGAGAAGTTAGAATAGGGACTTCATCCATGTTTCCCAGGGTAGATGCCCTGACCAATTTCTTTGCCTTTCTCTCCACAGAGCCTCTAGCTCTGCATGTGAAAACAACTGCATGCCTGACTGAGTACAATCAGWTGTTTTCATTTCCAAACACTAGTACATAAAAAGAAAAAGTCTTTTGGCAGACTAAGACCATAAACTGCAAGATTATGGGCTATTTTCTAAAATGGGGGCTGAAATGTATTCCTTCTATGTTTAAAAGAAATGAGTGTGTCAAACTGTTGGGGGTACGAAGGTCTCCCAGGAGGCACATGCCGAGTAACTCCTTAGAGACCTTTCTTTCAACATGGCCTTTGGGAGGTCTGCTGTGTGTCCCTGACAGAGCTTTCTTCTGCCAGGGATGTTGCTGCCCCCACGTCCTGCAGTGCACAAGATATGCACATGCACGAGACACGCTTCAAACACTTTTATGATCAAATACAGCTGTTCTCAGACCAGACAGGTGCAGGTTTCAGCTATTTCTGCTTGCATTAGTTGGGCAATGTGATGCACATCTGGAAAGTCATCAGAAGCTCTGGCTTACTGGGGATAGCCCTGACTGCAGCCTTCATGGCCCTGTGGACAACAGCATCCGTAGTGCCAACTCCACAAGCATCCACTGTTCTCCTTCCCATATTTGATTTTCTGGAAGCAACATGAGATGGTCTTTTGGGCAGCAGGCAGCTCCTGAAGCAAGACTTGTCAATCATCCCTGCAGGGGCCAGGCCAGGCCAGGAAGGGGCCTTGGGCAGCTTCTCACACGGAGCAATTTCCTCCTGTCCCCAGTCAGCAGAAGGAAGCAAAGCTGCCTTGGAGGGCTCCTTTCAGAGGAGAGTTTTCTTCATTTCTCAAAATCAGCTTTGCCAAGAGTCAAATTCCCAATTCTTCACATAATTCAGTAATTGTGTCATCAGTGACTTATTTCCAAGGCTTCTGTTACTAAGGGTTGTTCAATATATTTGCTCTTCTAAAGACAAATACTTATAGTAATACAAAGAATACAAACCACARCACGAACAGTATCCTCTTGGCTTATTACTTTCTATACCTGATGGAAACTGCTGGTCCAGGACCAGAGCCATGAGGCCACCAAACATTCAGAGCCTTTTTGCTTCCAGAGAAGTTAACAAAAGGCCATGAAAAGGGGCAGGCCATTCC